ATGCGGCACCAGTTAGGTAATTAACAGAAAATTTTTATGTCTTCACAATGCTTACAAGCACTTTTATTACATTTTTGTTATTATTATAGAGGGATGAACTTTGAAATAATGCTGCTTTGCAGAGGAAACTTTATTTACATAGGTTCATTTGAATCCAATTTTTTCCACCGATAGTCTGATCTTTTCTGCTTGACATTTATTTATGTTTTTGCCAGAAAGCAAATTAAAACAGATGTCAGGAACTCGCTGTCATATGACATTTACCATTCACTCAAGTACAAAATGTGAGGGCAGACAAATACAGTTCTTCACGTTAACCTTCAAAAACACTTAGAAAGGTTTTCATTACGAGATGAATGAACAAGTTCTATTCTTAAATATTTACGTCTGTGAGACTTCATCTCAAATAAATAGTATTACATACATTCTCAACTGGAAACATAAATTTAGAGCAACGCAATTACCGAAGACAAATTTTGAACTAGATCAGATGAGTTTAGGTCGATTTTTATTCAGTTTATAAACCTCGCAGAAATTAAACAAACACATTTTCCATTGCGCACTATGCATAGAGACTCTTGGTCGCATCGGTAATAACGTACTTAGAGACGAGCGGAATTTAGAAAACGAAATTGGTAATCTAAAATCCATTACTTTTAACTTTGATGCAACTTATTATTATCTGATATATGTATATTTGTATGTGTGTACGAAAATCCATTCACATAACGATTGTATCACTAAACTTCCTGTTGTCGCGTTAACGACTAGGAAGTTTTAGGTGTTTGTTCCAAGAACGTTTTCATTCTCGACAACAAAGGAAATAACAATGCACTAGACTCCTATTTAACCTTAGGGGCTACTGCCGGTCCCAAGCTCAGATAAATGATGAGGGTTGGACATGGGGTTGAAATCTCACTTGCCAAAAAAAGCTAACCAGAAAAAATAATTCAAACCATTTTAACTCTGCAACACTGATGAACAGTGGAATAGGTGGGTAGAGCACTTCAACGAACTCTGAAATCGCCCAGCTCCAATGAACACACTTAACATCGAGGCAGCATCCAAGGACCGTCCAAATAATATTGGCGCACCTACGATTGAGGAGATCAGTATAGCTATCAGTCAAATCAAGAACGGCAAAGCAGCAGGACCAGACAACATTCCAGCAGAGGCAATGAAAGCAGATGTAGAAGCAACTGCGAAAATATTTCACATTCTCTTCAAGAAGATTTGGGATGAGGAACAAGTACCATCAGATTGGAAAGAAGGATGCCTCATCAAAATACCAAAGAAAGGCGATCTCAGCAAGTGTGAGAACTACAGAGGCATCACTTTTCTTTCAATACTAGGCAAAGTCTTAAACACGGTATTGTTAAACAGAATGAAGGACTTCGTAGACGCCCAACTTCGAGATCAACAGGCCGGATTTCGTAAGGATCGATCATGTACTGACCAAATTGCTACATTACGGATCATTGTGGAACAATCAATTGAATGGAACTCACCACTCTACATCAACTTCATCGACTACGAGAAAGCATTCGATAGCGTGGATAGGAAAACACTGTGGAGGCTTCTTCGACACTACGGCGTGCCTGAGAAAATAGTTAACATCATACGGAATTCTTATGATGGATTCAACTGCAGAATTGTGCACGGAGGTCAGCTGACAGACTCTTTCGAGGTGAAGACCGGTGTCAGGCAAGGTCGCTTACTCTCACCCTTTCTCTTTCTCCTGGTCATCGACTGGATTATGAAGACGTCAACATCTGGAGGGAAGCACGGTATCAACTGGACAGTTAGGACGCAGCTGGACGATCTGGACTTCGCAGATGACCTGGCTCTTCTATCGCACACTCAACAACAAATGCAAGAGAAGACGACCAGTGTAGCAGCAGCCTCTGCAGCAGTAGGTCTCAACATTCATAAAGGAAAAAGCAAAATTCTCCGATGCAAAACAACATGCACCAACCGAATCACGCTTGATGGAGATACCTTGGAGGACGTTACCACCTTCACATATCTTGGCAGCATCATCGACGAGAAAGATGGATCGGACGCAGATGTGAGGACGCGGATTGGCAAAGCAAGGGCTGCATTTCTACAGTTGAAAAATATCTGGAACTCCAAACAACTTTCAAACAAAACCAAAATCAGGATTTTCAATACAAATGTGAAGACAGTTCTACTGTATGGAGGGGAAACATGGATAACTACCGAAGCCATCATTCAGAAGATACAAGTGTTTATTAACAGCTGTCTACGCAAAATACTTCGTATTCGTTGGCCAGACACCATCCGCAACAACGAACTGTGGGAGAGAACAAGTCAGATTCCAGTGGAGGAGGAAATCAGGAAGAAGCGGTGGAAGTGGATAGGACACACTCTACGAAAAGCACCGAACTGCGTCACGAGACAAGCCCTCACATGGAACCCTCAAGGCAAAAGGAAAAGAGGAAGGCCAAGGAACACATTACGCCGAGAAATAGAGAAAGATATGAGAGGAATGAACAAACATTGGACAGAACTGGAGAGGGAAGCCCAGGACAGAGTTGGTTGGAGAAAACTGGTCGGCGGCCTATGCTCCATTGGGGGTAACAGGCGTAAGTAAGTAAGTAAGTAAGTAAGTAAGACTGCTATTTCGTTTTTACTTGAGGTTTTACGAAAGTATGCATCAACAACAGAAGCAAGTGTATGCGCATATTCACTACTGAGAGATAACGGATTTAACTAGTACAGCGAATTAGGTCGTGCACTACTAAATAGTATCAAGAGTTCCAATTGATATTGTTCGTCGAACTACGTTGTAACATGATCAAGACTGATGAAAATGATAGGAAGGTTGAAAATAAGAGCGGAGAATGATTATCGAAAATTTACTTGTTAACAAACACAGCAGAATTTTCATTAAAACATGTGAGAATACTCAACATTCAGCAGCATGAGATGACTTCTTTCACATATTCGAAATGTAACACTTTTCTTAACGTGAACTATTGTATTGTTGTATTGTATTTTGGATCCATTTTTTCTAGAAAGAATCAATCAAAATCTGAAACCTAAAAACATAAACATCAACGAGTGTATGTGCTTCAAATTTTGTTATTTAATCATTCGTTTTGTTTTAGTTCTTGACTGTGCAACAAAGGTAGCTAAACATTCAGCAAACCCGAATATATTGAGAAGTAATTACTGAAGGCTTTTATTGATTAATTTGTAGTTATGTTTTTCTTTTTATGTGAGTAAAAATTCATGTATATAATGGTAAAGCCTGATGATAATCAAATCAGATTTTTGTGACTCTCGACTTTGGAAGAGTAATTCATGTATTCACTGTTTTAAAAATATTGATACTGATATTGAGCAATATGGTGCACTGAATTTTGAACAAATATAAAACATGGTTTTATAATATTAGCAAACCTAAACATGATGTGATGCATTGAAAAACCTCACTCTTTGACAAATAAAGTTTGCATAAGACTTGTTTGTTTACAGTTTGCAATGGGTGTGACGATGACGATTTGCTGTGAAATGAAATTACTACGTATTCATTCTAAAGCCGTTCAATAAATCATAGTTTACCCATTTTATTTCGCCTAGGTTTTAGTTATACGATGACTACTTATCGCAAGTTATACGACAGTAAGTAATTATGTGCGATATTTCATACATGAACATAAGGTATTGCAGATATTTTAATTATTACTTCTGTGATGCATTCAGGCTGATATTTTTGCAGATAAACCTAAATTCATGTTACAACATTTTATTCATTTATGCTGCATAGCATTTAATATCGAGAAACACAAAAGATGGACAAAATGCTTCGCTAAAATCGATAAGCGAATTCAAGGTATGATTTAGGAATAATATCATTACCAGTTTGATATACTTAGCGGATTTATTTAAACGTAGTAAATTATAAATTATTTTGCGAAGCAAATTCAGTAACAGTAACACTGTATGTTGTTCACAGAGTTATCTTATCACAAAGTATATTGAATAATCTCAAAAGTGTATGATGACTAGAATATGAGAAGATAAATACGGATTTGTGATAATCCATAGTTATTTGATATTTCTTGTCTGACGTACATTCAAAAGTCAAGTGTTGACAGAGGCAGCTAATGGTAGATACAGTGAATCTGTTTCGATCAACTGCTCAGCATTTAAAACTTGTGAGACTCAAATAAATAGCAGTTAATGGAGACAAATTTACTTAAATAATAACGGCATTCATAACATCAACCTACTATTTATATTTGTACAGAAGCGGCAAAAGGTCTCGACTTGGAGGAATGCATTAAACGTGCACCACTCAATAGTCTAGGTAATCTTTTATTAGAATTTTTTTATCGATTTTTTAATACCATGATAGTTTCATGTAAACACACAACAGCGTATCAACAACTGCAATATCTTGAAAGTTTTTTCGTCTATCTGATTTTTAATGAACAATTATGCTGAAGTGGCTCGAATTATTAATGAAATGCATTCCAGATACCGTATAAGAATACACTGCGAAAAAACCTTTTATATCATACAGTTATAGCAAAAATAAACTCACTAAATAGATGACTTATTTTTTTTTTCTGTTCGTTCTTGGAACTGGATTTGGAAAGATTTATAAGTGCTGAAGCTTTGAAAATTCGAAAACATATAACAAAATCTTTCTTTTCAGTCTTCCAAATGAAATAACCTCTATGTTTCACAGTGTTTTAAGCTCCACTAAATCTGATGAGTGTTCTGTTTTTATTAATGACCGTCATTTGAGAGGATTAGAACATAAATCAAATAAACTGCAGTACACGCAAATCAAAACATACATCAATGCTACATATCGGTTGATTGACGATATGTGTTGTATTCACCTATTCAAATAGGAATGTTCTATATAAAAACGATTTGCATTCCATTCTCTTCCATTCAGTTACACATATTTTAGATAAATTAAAACATCCGGTGAAGGTGACTATTATTTTTCTTTACCTCAGATCGAATAAGTTTAGAAAATCTCTATCAATCTATAAAGAAATTAGAAGAAACCAAAAATACATTGAATGACGAAATAAGTACGTCAATCAATTTAAATATCTGATTGTATATCTTTTAAATATTAATGAATCTGTTTAATGCAATATGATTGCAAATTTTTGTTGATAAAAATGTAATGAAACTAGCTGATGTGGTTTAATAAATTGCGAACAAAATAAAAAAACCTTTTCAACTTATCATCAATTCCGTTTTTTCATTTTTAATTTGCTTTGATCACATTTATCCTTTTCATAGGCAAGTATTTTACACAAGTAGAAATTCAACTTGAATGGAATAAAACGAAGTCAATAAGCTGCTTAACGCCTACTGAAATTCAAAATGCAAGTGACATGAACTAACAAACAGTTGGTTTTTATCAATTCAAATAGCTGGTTAAATGACGTCAGTTAGTAGTTATTCACTGTTGTCAGTCAGTCAGTTAAGTATATTGATTTTCGTGACAAGAAAAAACAAAAGCTATTCCTCTTTGTGAACATATTATAACTACACGTCTAACTCCACAAAGAATTCACACAGTTAAAATCGTCATACGAGCATTCTATCTGACTGACTACGCATATTTGGCCATTTTACTGATATGTGGTAATCCTAAATGAATTAATTTTTGCTTGCTTTCAGATAATCGACCAACAAAAAGAAACAAAAATTTAACGTTCCATTTATTCAAATCATTTTTCACAAACTTTGTTTCTTTTTAATGAATGAAATTAATAATAAATAGCTTAGCAATAAAAATGTCTGTAAAAATGTTTTAAAATCTAGTTTTCTTTGTAACTGACAACTGAAACAGTACATCTTTATGCGTATGTGGTCTACATTGACTGAATGAGAGATGATGAAATGTGTTATGAGGATATATTCGATTGATTTGATTTGACTCTATTAACGAGTTGTTGCCTTGAGAAATGCATCAAGATACATACAGCTCAACTGTCAAAGTTGAATATACTTCCAAGATTTCACTTGATTGAACTGAATTAGACTCATTGCACGTGTCTTCACCATGATTGGAGATAGGCGACCTATATGCTTGAGGTGGAAAATGCCTTGTCAGAAGAAAACTGACTCGCTTTTCTACAGATATATTTTGAAAACTCACATTTCGCGCCATATATCACGAACACTATTTTCGTCGTTATCGATCAGCCACGTCAATTCGCCTCACAGAATTCCTATTTGGTTATTTTCAGTTCTATCTCAAACTCTAAGATTCACATCAACATCTTGTCAAAACTACAGTTCAGTACTACTTGTTTATCAATGATGGTCCAACATGGTTACGATCGCGATTTAATCAACCGGGCGTGTGAAGTTCTTCAACTCATCGTTTGTGTTGTTCCACACGCTTTGCTTCATTTTTCTAAGACAGAACATATTGAAAATTAAATTATTTTAGTAATCTAACTGATAATATTGAACAAGAGAAATAGTATGAAGTGAACTATTCCATTTTAAATTACATCACAACTGAGTCTTTGTCAAAACATGAAACAGGAAATTAAATCCTTCTTCTCTGATTTCAGATAACGAATGTGCACTTCAGTACTTTAACTAGTTTTCTTTTCAGTCACTTTAAATAACATATTCGTGTGACCTCACCGATAACTCAGCCAAACAACACGCTTATTTTTCAATTGGAAAGTTACAGTCTAGAATACAATTAGAATTTCCTAGCATTCGTTCGTATTATTTATTCACAGATTCCTAATTGCATCACCTTTATTATTCAACACATGATAATTTAGCTTTTTGGGTATCAATATCATATTTTTTGTGTTTAATTCGTCAGAACTTATGGAAGCATATCTTCTGTATAACAGAATACTTGAGATTTAAACATACACACAAACAAATTGTTTGAATGTTGATCTATCAGTTAAAACGCCGTTTTGAGTGTTTGGACCATATTTTTATGGAAAGAAACTGCACGTTTCGGTACAAAGGCCTAATATGTTACTTTTGATCACCTTATGGTAATTTTAGTTACCATGATTTTTTGAGCAAAGAACAAGACACTTAAATAGCAGTTGCTTCTTTGATATGTTGGTCAGGCTACACTTGCACCACAGCTGAACTCCGAAACGTTTAAACTAAGATGAACTGTAGTATGGAACTCCGATGAAAATGTCACTTGAATTTTAAAAGTTCATAGAAAAATGAACGTTTATGTATCAACTAATCACATGCATGACTGAAAACTTCAAATTTAGTTTCTTTTGAAAAAAAGATCAGAGAGCCTTCGTTACAATAAGATGTCTTTCCTACTACCAACGATCCTAGTGTTGAAGGCGGTTGTACATCGGGTTAAGTGAAACATGGCTCTCTAATTTTTGGATTGTCTGATGTGACGACCTGTTATAAGTTTCCGCGGTTATTCGTAATCTTCGATTGACCACATAAACTTCCTTCGGTATTTTGTGTTAGTTCTAGGAATAGTTGATCGATCTATTTCGAGTCTCACAACAGCACTTGTAGTTTCTTGGACCTGAAGGGGTTTTCCAAAGATACGGTTAACAGTCGGTGATCTGTTGCATAACATACTGCACCGTGTTACAACGATATAACAACGCGATGATTTCTCGTGTTTTGCCGTTAGAAATGCATATGCTTTTTTTCTAAGTTAGTCATAATTGTTAGGCTACGAGGTTGGGTGCTGCTTTGGATTAGGAGGCCATTTTTTGATGTTATGGATGGGTAATATGTTGTTTTTCAGCCGACATTTCCATAGAGATTCTAAAGAAAATTGTTTGAATCTTTCTGTGTAGTATATAATATTGATACAATTTTTTGGTGTGCTCGTCTTTATTGAGGAATAATCGTTATCTTATTCAAATTTAAGGCTTTTGAAGTAAGGAAACCCCAGATTATGCACTTATATAAGTGTGTGATTGATAGAAGTGGTATCTCATAGTGACGCCTAATCGAATGAATGAGGCCGCTTTGCTGCGGTTAAGATGTAGCTTCTATGTATCGCTCTATGTAGATAAGTTGTCGAAGTCAACTTGCATCCAGGCTGTATTTTAGATGAAGTCATCAGACTAATAGCTGTATATTTTTGTGATGTCGTCTGCATAGAAATATGATCATCCAAAGTTTATAGTCCTACATGATTCGTGTATGTGGAGCAGATTCAAAGAAAAACCTGATACACTTCGACGCATGACTTCACTGGTTATTGATCTTGTAAGTGAAAGTCAATCGTTGTATCTTATCAGTTTGTTGACGTCCATTCACGAATGATACAGAACATGAATAAAGTGAGTTATTGATTCCGAATGACTTTTGTTTAAGGAGAAACGTTAACAACGGCTCTTCTGAAGTCGAAGACAATGACTGCAGGGGATGCTTTTTGTCTGGATTTTGCGTGAGACAATCCGGTAGGCATGTAGCACATGACCTGAAACTCAAGAACCGAAACTGTGAGCTCAACATCAAATTGTAAATTAGGTAGGTATTGTATTGTCGCTTATTCCTTCTAATTTCTCCGTCACAATAGACACTATCTAAGTTATGTTTACAGGTCGCTAATTTTGAACATTCGCTGCTGACGTTGATATATGTGAGGGGTTGATGTGTGTAGTATTCCAGTACTTCGGTAGGCATTCCGTGGAGAGTGATATAATCAATATTTTAAGAAGAATAACAGTGTTCACTGAAGACCTCTGTCATACGTTTTATGTCTCCATACATTCCTTTTCCATAATGAATACATCGGAGCATTTTAATTTCCTGCGAAGTATTTTAATAAGTGCCGAGCATATATAATGAAGCCTGGGGGCAGGCTTTTCTGTGTGACTGCCTATTTAGTACGTATTATTTTCGCCTAGATTATTATTCCTGTCCTTGTAACTACTCAACAGAAGTCATGACGGCTCTGAAGTCTAGAGGCATGTCGTTTAAGACATTTCGTTAACAACCTGCGTCCTAATACACCGAAGGATGCAAATTTATTGAAGATATTAATGGCTTTATGATACAACAAATTTAGGATTTCACGTGTACTGTTTGTTTTAAAGTAAATAGTCCAGTCAATGCTTTCAAGGCGATTCTGTAAGGTTGCTCGATCAATCTTACGAATGTCTCAATGAAGTGCAATGTCGCTGAGTTTTATAGTTGTGGCCTCAATATGAAGTTAGCGAATTGCAACACTGTTGTCGTTATCTAGGAACATTTCACAAAATACACAGTATTATTACCGACTTTACAAGTGAGGGTTATTTAAGTATATTCTGACGTCTCGTTGGGTCATCAACATTTGGAAACAACTGCAACAAATGGTTCAAAACGTCCAGGTGTGTTGATTGACAACACACAGTTTTCTGGCAAGTTAAAGTCCCGGAAATGGCCTTTCCTGTAAACTGTAGATATGAATTAAACATGAATACATACGACAATAATACTTACTCTTTTGTCAGTGTCTTATGCTGAGCAGTAGGTAAACTGCATTCAGGGTTCCTGAAATCATCCAGACAGAGTCTTACAATTAGTTTTATTCCGGCATATTAAATATCAGTGATTTTATTTCACAGTTGGCACATGTGAAGCATCCACATTCCCATCCTGTTAATCTTTCAGTTCACAATAGTTCATAGATTTGAAGACATATGCCAAGATCAAAAATAACACTGGTGCTTTATGCATCAGTTATCATTGCTTGTGATAGTTGGTAAACAGTAGCAAAGTTGTTTAATACTGTCTTTTTATAACAGATGAACCGAGCTGCAATATAACATATATTAAACAAATGTCCTTCAAAGCTACAATAGTTGAGAGTACCTCAAGCCAATGAGTTATTGAGAAATAGATGGCAGTGGTGTGGGGGTTAAGGTAACGGCTTGTTTAATAAGATACCGAGACCTCCAGCAGATGTTTTCAGCTTGGAATAGGCGTAAAAACCTTGCACGTTTTAGGACCAGTGTACGGATTGCTTTTGTTTTCTACATGTGGTATAAAATCGATTGACATATATTTCGGCCAGAGTAACACAAATTGGTATATCTTGGAAACATTTTGAGTAGTCTGATAATGCAGATCACTATTTTTTCAGTATAGACTTGGTGATGCAATCGGTTACTTGGTTTTTTTCTATCAGTAATGGTTTAACGTACAGAGGGTTGATCGTGTTTACGTGCCAGTTTTTATGACAATTTCTAATTTAAGGAGTCATTTATCCTCAGTGACGTGGTATGGTGGCGTGGTTGTCAAATTTCAGCAGTTCCATCAAGCTCTTTATCGGAAATTTTCTTAGACTTACCTCGTCAAGATCATCGTTTCTAATTAGCACCTGACGGTTTATATCAGAAGGCGAACATGAAGTTAATAATACGATTTTTCTGAC